CATCAAATCCACCAAGTGCTTCACTTTCATGATTGTATCTCTTTATGTTCATTAAGTCGATGAGACTTACTTGAGTCTCCCCTCTAAAGAATTGCTCATGAAAATTTCTTTCCAGTTGCAACCAATTATATATCGAATTGGGTGGCAACGAAGTAAACCAAGTGAAAGCATTCTTAGTCAATGAACTAGGAAAATATTTCATTTTTAATTCTTCACTCATCGCTAGGTCTCCACATTCGATCTGATATCGAGCTACATGCTCGATAGTGGACTCACCAATTTCTCCAGCAAATTTGGTAAATTTAGGTATTTTGTATCCTCGAGGTAATTCTGTCTCGAGAATCGTATTTGGAAAAGGAGAAACAAAATATGGTTGATTGGGTGGTCTTAATTCCACTCCTTGGGGATTCATCCTTTGTCCTAGCATGTGATTATACTGCATGTTATTTTGATTATACGCGTTTTGAAATCCCTCATTCAGATTTCCATACATATCATTCCTCACATGTTGATATTCATTCCCCATATGTTGATCATTATTTTGATTTCTCCTCAATAAATAAGGGGGATTGATATTAGCGTTCTGGTTAATATTCTGATTGGCATGATTTTTCACTCTCGTTTGTCGAGGTATGGCCAATGCATCTCCGATACATGCCATTTGGTCTGCTAATATCTCAAAACTAGTAGTAGTGTTTTGAACTAATGGATTTAGAACTGTAGTCAACTGTTGTGATAACATATTAATCATCTCGAAATTGCTTTCATCCATTTGTTGTCTAAGTACTCCTAATGAGTTATTGGAAATTCCAGTACTAGCATTTTCGATAGTTTCAAAATTGGATCGATGATAATCTCTATCGAACGTATATCTCCCATGATCCAGATTTGCTCTATGATCTAGATTTGGAGGTGTCTGTTGTATACATAAATTCTGCACACTCCCTGAGTTCTAGGGGGTTACTAAATTTTGAGACGCCCCTAAATTTGGAGATACTCCAAAATTTTGTGGCATACCTAGAGTCTGAAATGTACCTAAGTTTTGAGGCATTCCTAGGTTAAATCTCGAATTTCGTTGTATTGAAGAAGTATCAGCCTCATTCATATTATTAAGCGAACAACCAGGCGGCCTTACGCTCATATACGGCCCTGCATATGTTGTTATAGGGTTTCCCATAGTTTGCATATTATTTGATATCGCAGTGCTAGATCCTAGTTGAGTATTTGCTAATGTGCCTGAACTTTGTTCATTACTCACAGGTATCGACATACTCGCAGTTGTCGATATTACAGGCATATTCCCATTATGACCTTGCCCCCCAGTGTTTGGTGGATGTGAACCATTCAGAACCTCAATGTTACTCGGATTATTTGGTGGATGACTCATTCTTATTACTCGCCCGCTCCTTAATCTCATACACTTTCGAACTAACCAATTTTGTGTTTTTCGACACAAGACCCCTTACCTGGCGCGCCAATTTGTTTCTGGTGAAAATTTGATTGATTTCGATTTATGGGGAGTTGAGTCCTAATCAAATTTTGAACATGTAGATTCTTTTTACTTAGGCTAGCAACTAGTTTTCAATCGAAAAGTGCATGAGAATCGAGAATCTCGGGAATGCAAACAACAATATTTAAAGTGCAAATCGCAAGAACTATTTTTGGTATTTTTTATTAGGTAACGCGAAGTAAAAATTGTTGGATCGAAAAGTGGTGCAAAATATTAAATTGCAGAGAAACATAAATGCAGAAACCTCAAAATTTGCATTAAGTGTAAATGACAAGGAATCGAAAATTGCAGAACTGTAAATAAGCAGAAAATCGAACTTTGCAGAAAAGTAGATAACAGGAAATCGAAATTGCAAGAAAGAGAATAACAGGAAATCGAAATTGCATAATTATAAATAGCGAGGAACTTAAATGCATAATCAAAAGTAAAATAACATAGAATTAAAAGTGCAGAAATTTAAAGTTGCTTAAACGTAAACTGCATTAAAATAAATTGCATGAACATAAATTACCAGGGAAAGTACAAAAAACGGTAAAGACAATCAATGAAAATGGAAATCCAGATCACCAGAAACTTCATGATTTCGTCGTTCTCCGGTAGACTTTTCACTAACGCTTTTGTTGTCTCTGCCAATTTCCCCCTTTCCTTCCTTCTTCGCCCTATTTATAGAGTGTTCTTCAAGTAACCTCCTAAAAGCAGTTAAAACTGCCACCACGATCCATTATGCACGTTCCTTCAGTCTTAACAGTTTTAAAAAACTGCATTCCACGTTCTCACGCATAAGATAACTGCTCCCTTGATCTTCGATCTGAGCCACGGTTTAGGAACTGTTTCCCATGTCCCCTGTGTGTTAACTGCTCCCTCGATTTCGATTTCAGACATCGAGTATTTTGAATTTTGTTTTTGATTCCCTTTAATTCTTAACTTTGCACTATTCTAATCTCTCGATTCTCTTCAACAATAGACATCGAAATCTGTTTCTTCGATTCTCGATTTTAATTTTCGATGTGTTTTTATCTTTGTGATCACCAGGTGTCTTTTACCAATTGTCAGTTTTTAATCAATCATATTATCCTCGATTTTTCTTTCCTTCGTTTTTGAATCCTTTTAACTATTTCACACTAACAACTAGGTAATAAAAATCGAAACTTTTGTGAAGTGGAACTATGATAAGAGGATCCATATATATCATAGCATAACATATTACCATCAAATTCATTGTTTTAGAGTCTTCAATCGAAAATTCTCACTTTCTTACGCATTAAACGTAGAATGAAGTTTTTGTCTGACTGATAGTAAACATTGTTGAATATAAAACACACCTTAAAAAATATAAAATAATCATGAGATATAGTTTTTTTTGGCATAAAAGAATATAAAATTAAAAAGTTTTATTTATTTTTCCTTTCAAGATGAAGATTGCAGTTGTAGAGCATGTGCGAGAGATTCAGGTTCATCCGGAAAGCAGATCCTGGAGTGAAGAAAATAATTGCACGTCTTACACTTACCATCGCACATTTCTGAACTCTTAAAAGCTTAATTATCGACACACAACCCATTTTTTAATATGCAAGACCATTTATTTTAGTGTTTTTGGTCAAATAGTGTAATAATTGGAGTTAAAAAATTAGTTGCACGTTGAAGTCTGATTTCTCACATTTCTTTCTTGTTCTTTTGCCATTTATTTACCCAAATGAATTAAATAAACATTACCAAAACAATGGTTAAGACTTAAGATATGTATCTTTATCCTTATCTTATGCCTTTAGAAGATGACTTATAGTTTACATATTATTTTTCTGGTTAAGTCATTAGTCTACAAGAATATGTCATACTTATCTAAAAACATTAATATAAAAATAACTTTCTCTGAATAAGTTCACAGATCACGGCAAACTATAAATTAAGGTCCAATTATATTTAAAATAAATAAATTACATGTTAAACTTTATCTGTAATTTAATCAGATCATATTTATTTAACACAAACTCTTTTCAATATAATTTATTTCTATTTGAAGCAGCAGTTATTAAGTTTGAAAGCATCATTTTAAGTTTTCTTACATCTTCTATTTACTGTGTAAACATATTTTGTGAAAAAAAAAAGTTAAAAAGAGGAATTCCGTGTTCAAAGATTATTCTTCACATTTGTTAAATTTAATAATTAAAATAATAATACTTATCACATTTTTTTTGTATAAATATGATCCACACAATATTTTAAAATCAACGATGAAATTAGGGTTTATCGTGTATAAGTTCTTAAAAGATAAAGACAAGGAATAGTGCACATCACCAACAAGGCAACAGGTCAGCTAAACCAAACACACACACAACCACTTATCCTTAAATAGTCCCCCGACCACATTGACCTAAAGAATGACAATTTGTCAGCAAAACATTTACCACCATCGACTAAAAAAATTTATGTCACCAGGTTACTGTTTCCCAATATAAAATAAAATATTTTCCCCTAATTTGGGAATGCAACCACAACCTCTTCCCAACTCAAACTAGCCAAGGTTGGTTTGGTTTCATTAGAATACATAGCCATTTTTCTAGTTCTGACTTGGTCGCATTATGTGAGTGTCTTTCTCTCCTACAGTTCTGGTCCTAATCCTATAAATATCCTTCGCTTCTTCCTTACACCTTTTCATAACCATTCTCCACACACTCTAACTGTTTCTATCTATTCAGCTTCACAACTTCTCTTCTTCTGAATCTCTATCTTTTTTTTGGTAAGTTCCTCTCTCTCTCTCTCTCTCTTGTTCTGTTGTATTCTTCGGTTTCCATTTCTCCGCTACAGATCTCCCAACGATAGACTTTTCAGCTTCCGAGCGCTGCTATTTGTTTGTGTTATTTATATCTGTTTTGATGTTTCATTTTATAAATCAAATTGAATATCCACCTAACAAAAGTTTACCATTCTAAATAGATTGTAATGTTTACCCTTCCAGATTCTTACCTGCTGTATTTATTGTCAAAAATCTGAATTACGTCATCAACTTTTGGTTAATTTCCAGATCTGGTGGTTGTTCTTCTGGATTTTTTTTTCTGGTAAAGGATATTTGGTTCCTCTTATTCATCTTAGAAGACTGTTCGGTGTAGATAAATTTATCATTGTTATCATTTTCTGTATCGTTTCGTTTAAATATTAATTCATAATTTGTATTTGGTTTAATCCATTTTTGTTTTATGTTAAGATTTGTAGAAAACGCTGGAAGCTTATCTTGTTAATTTATCTTCAGTCTGACTTTTTTAGATCAAGGGTTATACTAATATCTAATGTGTTCTTGTCCAAGTAATGTTTGAATTAAAAAGAACTGCGATTTACAATTTTAAGCCTGCAGATTTTGAACGTTGTTTCTCTCATTGAATTTTATATCTTAAAGATTTTTTATGTGAACGCTTCTTTAACCTATTTGATATATTCAGACCATATGAACTTGAAGAAAATGGAAGTTAATGGTGGCTAAGTCTTGGCAACTTCTATGGCCTACTCTGGTATGCCTTCATAATTTGGTTGACTAACGTTGATTACCTTTTGCATTAACTTAAAAATATGACAAGTCTTTGCCTTAATGTATAGGTATCTGGGCATTGTGTGAGGGAGGATACAGCTTAGGCAATTTAAGAGACAATTTGCAGAAGACAAGTAAGAAGAATAGCTGTGGGAGCAGAATAATAACTGTTATGGAATTTGAATCAGACTGGACAAAGCATAGAAAATCATCTGCTCATACTGCTCAAGTGATTCGTTCTGCAACATCGTTCATGCCTTGGTCTCGTAGAATCCCAATTGTTGAAGGATTTTATGAATTTCTTTAGTTATATATTTCTCAGTAACACATTTGCGCACTATTTGGTTGATAGATCTCTACAAAAGATTTTACACCCTCTAGATATTTACTGTGTAATTGCTGGTTTAAAAAATGCCTGATTTAACTGTTGGAAAGAAGAGATTTATCCATCCAAATATGTGTTTCACCAATTTGATCAATCGAGATAAATCAACTCTTTCGGAAAGTGATAATTGTTTTTTCCCTGAGGCACTGAGTAAAGATTATAGCCCAATTCTACCTGGGCTACCTGATGATGTGTCTGAGTATTGTCTCGCACTTGTGCCTCGTTCCAACTTCCCTGCTATGGGTGGTGTATGTAAGAGATGGAGGTCGTTTATTCGAAGCAAAGAATTCGCTACTGTGCGAAAATTGGCTGGGATGCTCGAGGAATGGCTCTATTTCTTAACAACGGACTGTGAAGAAAAGGAAAGTCATTGGGAGGTTATGGATTGTCTCGGTCGTAAATGCCGATCTATTCCACCAATGCCTGGTCCAGTAAAGGCTGGGTTTGGAGTGGTGGTTCTTGATGGAAAACTTTTTGTTATGGCTGGTTATTCAGCTATTGAAGGAACTGCCTTTGCCTCAGCTGAGGTTTACCAATATGATTCTTGCCTCAACAGGTATGATTTCCTTTCAGCAGTCTACCTAGAAATTGTTTCATATGATCAATTAGCTTTGAAATTAGTTAATGATGGACCTATTGTTCCTAATTGGTGAAACATAAAGGTCTGTTACTCTTCATGAAACTTCTCACCATATGTGTGTGTGTTTTAATCTTGTTTTGACTTGCTTTTCATTCTATTGCAATTGCAGCTGGAGCAGATTGTTGAACATGAATGTGGCTCGTTATGACTTTGCTTGTGCTGAAGTCAATGGCCTGGTTTATGCTGTTGGAGGCTATGGGGAGAATGGTGACAGTTTGTCCAGTGCTGAGGTGTATGATCCAGATACTGACAAGTGGACGCTGATAGAGAGCCTCCGCCGTCCGAGATGGGGTTGTTTTGCTTGTGGATTTGAGGGTAAGCTCTATGTCATGGGTGGAAGGTCAAGCTTCACTATTGGAAACTCCAAGTTTGTTGATATATACAACCCTGAGAGGCACAGCTGGTGTGAGATTAAGAATGGCTGTGTTATGGTCACAGCTCATGCAGTATTAGGAAAGAAGTTGTTCTGCATTGAGTGGAAGAACCAGCGGAAGCTGGCTATCTTCAGTCCAGAGGACAATTCGTGGGAAATGGTAGCAGTTCCATTGACAGGGAGTACAAGTGTTGGTTTTCGGTTTGGGATACTGGATGGAAAGTTGCTGCTATTCCCTCTGGTGGCAGAACATGCTTATCAAACATTGTTGTATGATCCAAATGCAGCTCTGGGGTCAGAGTGGCAGACTTGTGACATAAGGCCATCTGGTATGTGCTTGTATTGTGTAACAATCAAGGCGTGAAAACTTGTTTGGCTCTGAACTCCTGTTCCTGGTGGCTGATTGAGAGGTTATTATCACATGGCCACGGAACATACAATCACGTTTTCAAATTTTACCAAATGATCTCACATCACATGTAATAATTTCTCTTATTGAGGTGAGTGTCCCTCACATTATATATTTATGCAATTTCAATTTTGTGTTTTTCTTGTTTGTGGTTGTCAGATACTTGACGTCTGGTATACCCTTTGTGTCTTTAGACTATGGGAGATTAATTCACTTGGTCTTGTAATGATCGACTCTTATATGCACTATTTAAAACTGTGGTGGGTGAGCTATTTATTTGATGTTCTCTTTTGGACTTTTTGGTGTAATAAAGTGATGACTTCAGAATTTTTAATCCGATATTAAAAGGTTGGTGCACGTGGTTCGGCTTTCAAACTTCATGATTGAGACGAAAACAAGTTGAGCATATTGGTGTGAAATATCAGATACGAGAGCGACAGACCAATGAATTTCGACCATACCATTCAGATGGATCATTCAGAGAAATAAAAAATTTGAAATATTTACTGTCAATATAAAAACTTGCTCTATCAATCAATTAGCCCATCAATCTGTTAGTAGCAAATCGAGAAAAGCGATCGAAATCGAAGGAAAGAAATATGACTCGATAAGATAAACAAAAGTTCATTCGATGTCTAATTAGAAATACGTAGCATATAGCATCGAGAAACACAATCGAGAATCGAATGAATTGTAATCAAATGACTGTTGTCAAATAAAAATTAAGTCATATAAGATCATGATTAAAAAGGAATCGTGAGCAATTCGAAGTTCTCGAAAGATATAGAATCGAGAATAAAGAAAGTCAATGGGGACATCGAGATTTTGGCCAAATCGTGAAGGGAAGTAAGTCGAATGCACGTATAGAGAGCAGTTTTGAAATCATGGGTAAAAGTTGGAGATCGTGAGATCGTGGGAAACTAGAAGATAAACTGTCATACGCACGTAGAACGTGGTAGCAGTCGTATTAACTGCTCTTAGAAGGCTTGAAGGATGCCTTATAAATAGAGCAAAGAAGGAAGGAACAAGGGGAGCAAAAATTGGCAGAGCGCGAGAATCAGCGAGTGAAAACGTCTACCGGAGGAACGACGAACACCATGAAGTTTCGGCAATCTGGATTTCCCTGCTCACGGAGTACATTTATCGCTTTCTTTATTTTCCTTGGTAATTTACTTTCGAGTCATTTCAATTCAGCAATTTCATATTCTTGTATACTACATTCAATGTCATTTCGATTTCCTGTTATTTACTTTTTATGCAATCTTAATGGGTTTTAGCAATTTACATTTCCCGCACATTTCGATTTCCTGTCCTTTATTTCTCTTGCAAACTTAATTTCTTGCAAATTTGGGGTTTTCGCATTTTCTTGCAATTTAATACTCTTTTCTCGATTCGATACTTTACTGCTTTGTTTGATTCGAGCATTTTAGACATAAAAAACCAAAAATAGTATTTCTCGATACTTATAGTTTTCGACTCTCATACACATTTTCGATTGAAAATCAAATTGCTAGCCTAAGTAAAAAAGAACTTACATGGTAGAATTTCGATTAGGACCAAAATACCCTTAGGATCGAAATCGATCAAAATTCCACCAGAAACAAATTGGCGCGCCAGGTAGGGGCTTGTGTTGAAAAAAAAACACAAAAGAGGTTAGTTCGAGAGTGTATGAGATTAAGAAGTGGGAGAGTTATAAGAATGAGTCAGAATTCATCAAGTAGTCAGAATAACAATGAGGGTCTAAGTGGTGTGCTCCCACCAAATACTGGGGGACAAGGGCATAATGGGAGTATGCCTGTAGTGTCGACAACTGTGAGCACGTCGATACCAGCAAGTCATGAACAAAATCCAGGTACATTGACAAACACCCATGTAGGGTCTAGTATAGCAATATCAAATAATATGCAAACTATGGGAAACCCCATAACCACATATGCAGGGCCATATACTAGTGTAAGACCACCTGGTTTTTTACCCAATAACATGAATGGAGCTGGCACTTCATCGATACATAGAAATTCACGATACAGCTTAGGAATGCCTCCAAATGTAGGCACATTTCAAACCCTAGGCATGCCACAAAACTTTGGAGTATCTACACATTTAGGGGCATCTCAAAATTCAGTGATATCACAAAATTCAGGGAATGGACCAAACTTAGGGATACAACAGACACCTCCAAATCTAGATCCTAGGGGAATCTCGATCATGGGAGATATGCATTTGATAGGGACTATCATCGATCTAATTTCGAGAATATCGAAAATACTAATACTTGGGATTTCCAGGTAACTCCCTAGGAATACTTAGACAACAAATGGATGAGAGTAATTTTGAAATGGTGAATATGTTATCACAGCGAGTTGACTACGGTCTTAAACCCATTAGTTCAAAATACTACTGCTAGTTTCGAGATATTAGCGGATCAAATGTCTCGAATTGGAGACGCATTGGCTGTACCTCGACAAACGAGGATGGAGAATCATGCCAATCAGAATATTAATCCCCCTTATTTATTAAGAAGGAATCGGAACAATGATCAATATCAGCAAATGGGGAACGAATATCAACATGTGAGGAATGATATTTACGGAAATCTGAATGAGGGATTTCAAAATATTCATAATCAGAATAATACGCAATATAATCACATGTTAGGACAAAGGATGAATTTCCAAGGGACGGATTTAAGACCACCCAATCGGACATATTTTGTGTCTCCTTTTCCAAATGCGATTCTCGAGACGGAATTGCCTCGAGGATACAAAGTACCCAAATTCACTAAATTTGCTTGGAGAAGTTGGTGAATCAACTATCGAGCATGTAGCTCGATATCAGATAGAGTGCGGGGACTTAGCAATGAGTGAAGAGTTAAAAATGAAGTATTTCCCTAGTTCCTTGACTAAGAATGCTTTCACTTGGTTTACTTCATTGCCACCAAATTCGATATATAATTGGTTGCAGTTAGAAAGAAATTTCCATGAACAATTCTTTAGAGGAGAAACTCAAGTAAGTCTCATTGATTTGATGAACATAAAACGATATAATCATGAAAACATAGATGATTATCCGAATCGATTTAGACAAATGAAATCAAGATGTTTTACTCAAATTCCCGAATACGAATTAGTCGGGATGGCTTACGCGAGTTTAGAATTCTCGATTAGGAAAAAGTTGGTAAATTTGCCATTAAATGACATGGCTCGGTTAGGCGATAAAGTGAGGAGAGTGGAACAAATCGAGTATGAGAAACAAAGACACAAGAAATTTGAGAAACCTGTGAAAAAAGAAAGAATAGCCTATATAAATGATGTGTATGAAGTAGATCCCTCAACAGAAAATGATATCGAGGAAAATGTTGATGAGAAAGTGAATATAGCAGAGCTCAAAGTAGGAGCTCCATATACTTGTAAATTGTTGCAAAAGAATGAAGTGAAAGATAAAATGGCAAATCGAACCTATACTTTCGATGTAACAAAAGCAGATAAGATCTTCGACATTCTACTAAAAGATAAACAGATTAAGTTAAGCGAAGATCACAAACCGCCTTCGCGAGAACAAAGGGGTGGTCGAAAATATTGTAAATTTCATAATATTTATGGACACTTGGACTAACAATTGTATACATTTCAGGAACACGGTTCAAGATGCAATCGACCAAGGAAGACCGAAGTTTGGGGAGACGACGATGAAAGTGGACACGAGTCCGTTCGAAGTCCAAGTGGGATATATTGAATCCCAAGCCGAGATGAAGGATGACGTTAGAGCGATGAATGCCACCTTCATAGGCATGGTCGATGTTACTGAAGACATCGATCCCAAGCATATCAGAATGGACGTATCGGAGGAAGATATGGAGTTCGACTTGAGCGAATTCGAAAAAGAATTTGAGAAAGAGATATACCCTCGAGCAGGAGACTCTCTCGTTGAATTTTTGAATAGGAAGAAAGAGAAAGACGAAGACGTGTCGCTATGCCCACGGTGCAGTGCGGTTTTCGATAAATCGGTTGCCAAAGCTTTCAAAATTGAACAAACAAAGAAGATCGAGAGTCAAAACATAAGGAAAAATGATAAAGTGGAGCAGACGGCCCGACCAACTATCGAAGAAAGTCAACAGAAATCTGTTGGTTCTGGTGTTAGCGGGAATCAAAGGCAATGGGTTAGAAGAGAGATGTATCCTTCTCGAGGAGGAAGAGGAAGACTTCAAAGTAGTGATGTCTTTGAGAGACTATCATACGATGAAGGATCAAACACTGGATTCCCAACATTCCCAAGAAGATTCCGAGGAAGGCCCTGGAGAAGAGGAGGAAGGATCCCTTACTGGAGTAATTATAGAAACTTTGAAGAGAATATTGTACCTATGGAAAGCCAATATTCAAGGGAATTCTTCGATGACAAGAATGAAGGCAACTGGAACGAACATCAAATCGGAGTGATATCGATATTACCCGCGGAATATGTCAACGAATACAAGGAATATCAAGAACAGAGTGATGTTAATCGAGAAGATGACTTCTATTCAGAAAACATAAGGCCAAAGGTGACATGGGTAACTCAGGCATCGTGCGAAATACCTCATAGAGATGCTGCCTTCATCGACCCTCCATCTGAAGAAATGAGGTTCCACTTGAAGCCTTTACTATTAAACATCGAGATCCAAGGACAAATGGTGAACAAGGTCCTTATCGATGGTGGCGCAGCAGTAAACATATTGCCAATCTCCATGCTGAAGAGGTTTGGCATCGAGCTTAAAGATCTAGTCAAACACAACATTATGATTTCCGATTTCAGCGGAAAAACATCGGGATCGAGAGGGTATGATCGCTTTAGACGTGAAGGTAGGTACTTACTCAAGGCCTACTCGTATTTGTTGTGGTCCAATCGCACGCCAACTTTAATGCACTACTGGGTAGAGAATGGATCCATGGAGTGGGAGCTGTACCTTCGACGGCTCA